ACGGCCCGCGGCGCAAGCTTCGGCTTGTCCCCCTATTTCCCCTGGCTCGAACCATCGGTCCAGCGGAACTGCTGGATACTATACCAACGTTGCAAACGGATCAGCCTCTGCTGCATCCGAATCCAGCCTGCGGAACCGCTCCCCTATGTCACCGTCCCCAACACGCATCGTATCCACACTTCCGAATTTCTCCGCTCCTTTTCCCTCCCCGCAACTGCCTACTTACCAGGCAATGAAGTCGTATCATCCTGTTTCTTTTTCCGCGAACACTTTGCCACCCACCCCACCGGTTTCCACCGTAACACAACTTATAACTTGCGATTTATGCCCTCGGACCTTTAAGATACGCGGTGGTCTCCTGAGACATCTCGCCGCCCACCGAAGGAATCCAACAGCCTTTCTGGCATCTGCAGCCGCAGCCAATTTCCGCGATTTCAGCTGCCATACCTGCCGGCGTTCCTTTGCTTCGCAAAGAGGCCTATCACAACACCGACGACATCGACATTCCGTCCAATACAATGCAGACTGTCTAGCACGACTTCCTGCACAATCCTTTACTTGGTCGGCCAGGGAAGATAGACAGCAAAGTAAAGCGGCCTCAAACCTTGCTAGATCCTGCCCTAAACTCGTCACTTTACTTCACAAATTACAGACGGCATTCCCATCGCGGACGAAGGAGGGCATAAGGAAACGTCTACAGCGCATCGGTTGGCACTGTGCTGATTGGCGTGCGCAGTGTGTAGAGTCTCGAGTTTCGCTCGCTCCAATAATTATCCAACCGTCCTCCCTTTCACCGCTGCAGCGACGCCAGTGTACACCCTCGAACTCGGTATGCTTGACATCAGATGACTCACTAATACAACTTACCCGGAATGTGGCAACCGAAGACATCCATGCTGCCAGTATCCCCATCGACGAACAAGTTTGCTCGACGTAAAACACACAATAATACTTCCGCTGCAACAGTTGCTTCATCCACAATACAGAAAGCCAACCCCACCATCCTGACTGGCTTCTGTCTACTTCCCGTGGACCTGGATGCATCACAAAGCACTCTGGAGGACGTTGTTTTGAGGCGAGACGATTCACCCTTAAACGCGGACGATAGGTTAAACTCCCAATCGGATCCACGGCCCACGTCCACACTTTTGCCTCTCAGTGCTCCTGCTGACTTGATCAATCCTCAATCCCTTTCCGCAGTCTCAGTTTCGCACTCTACCACACAGATGGTCGAGGACACAGCCCCATTCCGCCTTCTGCTCGCGGAAGCTCAACGATTGGCACGTGGGTGCAAAGCTGCCAATACCGAACCACATTCCCTGCTTCTCAACATGCTGCTTTCCCAACCGGACGACAACTCGTGGGAACGGTATAGTAGAGAGCTTACTGCCGCATGTACCAGCCTATTCCCTTGTAGATGGGCGCCGACGAAACGCAAAAAGATACCGCCAGTCATTAAAAACAATCAACAACGCCGACGCCTACAATATGGCTACATCCAACGTCTCTATCATACGAGGCGTAAAGATGCAGCAGCAACCGTTATTGATGGCAGATGGCGAACGGCCTTCCTGCAAGAAGACGATCGTCTCCCTGGCTTTACGGACTTCTGGACAAAAGTCATTTCTCAGCCTCCAGTACATGACGACCGTCCACCTCGCAATATCCTCCCCACTAACCCGGATTTGGTGAGATCCATCACCAAGAGGAGCTGCGAGCAGCGATTCGTCAGGTGCAAGGCTCTGCACCGGGGGTTGACCGTGTCACACCGCAAGATGTATTGAGAATGGACCCCGTTTTTGTAACTGCGTTTCTCAACGCTCTCCTTGCTTCTTCGTCTTTCTCTTCACACATGAATACTGCACGGATCACGTTTGTTCCCAAGGCAGATGCACCCTCTTCTCCTGAGTTTTTTCGGCCTATTTCCGTCACTTCCATCTTTACTCGTCTGCTTCATCGAATCCTATTTGACCGCTGGGTTCCCACTTTTCCTTCAAATCGTCTACATTTCGGCTTCCTACGTAAGGATGGATGCTTTGAAGCACCTGCGATAATGCACGCCGCACTACGACACGCGCATTCTTCATACTCTCCACTTTCCTTTGCTTCAATTGATATTTCCAGAGCCTTTGATTCTCTTTCTCATCAGTCCTTACTACGCGCAGCCTCTGCTTTTGGCGCACCCCCTCTGCTACTGGATTACCTTGCTTTCTACTACTCTTCAGCTACTTCCACTTTCAACAATGTTCACCTTCATCCGGAACGAGGAGTTAGACAGGGAGACCCACTCTCTCCTTTACTATTTATCATGACGCTGGACGAAGCTCTGCAAGATTTACCCTCTGAACCCTGGACATCCCCATTAGGGCCAATGGATTATCTCGCTTACGCCGATGACGTTTTGATATTTGCTCAGGACCGGTTTTCGCTGCAGAAGCGCTTGCGACATTTCAGTGATAAACTGGCCCTCATGGGATTATCCATCAACCAGATGAAGTCAACCTCCGTCAGCATTATAGTGGACTGTTCAAGAAAACTAACGATACTGGACACCGCCCCTTTGGACTGTGGAGATTCCATTATATCTTCCTTGCAACCAGAAGAGAAATTTACGATGTTAGGCTTGCCTTGTAGTTGGAAAGGTAAGCTCCCGCCAACTTCCGCAGGCGAGTTACGTGCTCAAATGGAAGAAGTTACAAAAGCGCCCTTAAAACCCAACCAGCGCTTGGAGCTTCTGAAGACGTTCCTGCTTCCAAGGCATCTTCATAAACTCTACTTGGCCGTTGTCCATAAACAGACGCTCAAACGCATGGACAGACTTGTTTGAGCACATGTGAGAAAATGGCTCCGGTTGCCCACGGGCACAAATCTGGCTTATTTCCACGCCTCAATCGGGGATTTTTGGTATTGGTATACCCTGCTTATCCGCCACTATTCCACTGTTACGGAAGGACCGATTAGAACGACATCTTAATAATGCACACCCAATTACTAGCTGGGCCATCCGAGATCCCGCAGCCGGCTCCATTCATCGACTGGCGCGCTCCAATGTTACCATCGGCAACCGAGTGGTGATGGACAGAGTATCAACCGCGGAAGCATGGAAAGACGCGCTACTTACCTCAGCAGACAGGTGCCCGCTCCGGGGAGTGGTCACCACGCCCGCTGCACATCACTGGCTGCGGAATCCGGCTAGGATATTCCCTGGACAGTTCTTTCGAGAAATACAGCTTCGAGGTGGGTTAATGTCTACAAAAATACGACGCGCAAGAGGACGACCGCCTGAGACCCAATCCGAGCTACTATGTCGCGGCAACTGTGGACAAAAGGAGACTCTGTCTCATGTCCTACAATCCTGTGGCATCAACCATGAAGCACGATGTAAACGCCACAAGTACATGGCAGAGCAAGGCGCCAAAAACTCCGCAAACGAACACTGAACATCGTTCTCGAACCAAGAATTCCAACAGCGACCTCATTCATCAAGCCAGATATACTCGCAGTAAAGGGATCATCGGTGCACGTCATGGATGTCGGAATTTGTGACGCCGACCGGATGGCGCGTACGCACCAGCTGAAGGTCGACAAATTTGGCTCCGGAAATAACGCATCAATGACCTCGAATTATATAAAAGCGCACAATTCCCCAAAATACGCGAGATTTACCACCACCCAATTATCTTAAACAATCGGGCTTCGGCTTCGGCGAAATACTTATCAACTCTCGGCTTCACCAAACTCGACATCTCAGATATCTGCTTCTCCGCCCTCCGATTATCACTGATGGTATATGATACATATATGAGGGGAGCTTCCTCCCAGTCCTCCTAAAACGATTCCCGCAACCTGCTATTTCATACATTCAGTGTCGGATTACACAAACATACGGTGACGATGGAAGCGGTTCCGTCCAAAAGTTTTGAAGTCTACTCTTCTGTAATCGATTATTATTATGCCGGGGCATTCGACCCTTCTCGGCAAATTGTTGTAAATCTCAAATCAGGAGTCATGCATGCAATTTACCGAAAATATAATGTTATAGGTCACTCTGAAGCAGATGTTGGTTGGCGTTCACCTGGATCCTACGCCAAATCGTGATATCGTCGGCAAACATTCGGTGAAAAACACCTGTTATTGCGCCGCAAGCCCACATAAAACCATTGTTCATTGGCTCATGTGGCTCAGTGAGCCTGTTAGATGTTGAAACGTTAACCATCTCTCAGCTGATCAACACTTTACACAAACTGTGATAACACAGACGTGATAATTAGCCATAGCCCCAACGACTGCTAGACTTTCATCTTACTGCTTACTTTTACACATCCATATGATAGTGCCATTTCTTTACTACTGATGATTTAAGTTCCACGTAGGAACATTTTTGGTTTTAATTTTCTCATACATGTTGCATCCTGTGGGTTCTGTAAAGTTAGGTTTTTTATCTCACTATGCAATGTTGAAATACAGTGAACTATTGAATGTTAGAATAAGGTCCATACTAAGTTTATGTTTCGTCTAATGTCAGCGCATCCACTTGCGAGGATTCCGCAGACAAAACATCGGGCACGAATACAGTCCCACCATTGAAAACATTAAGGCGTGCAAACCAGACGCACTTGTCAGCAAAGTGAAGAGTCGTACATAGCTAGCTTCTGCCAACTCGCGGTACTTGTTTCTTCATTATTATCGCTAAATGCTTGGCAAATTTAACCGACCTATTGTTCAGGCTCTTTTTCTGCACCACCTTTTATGGTAATTATTTAGAGTCAATTCATACTTGCATCTGAATAATTTCGATAGATATCCATCCACTTAGCAAGAAAAGCAAGTAAATTTAGTCCATAATCCATGTACGCAAGGATAACATCGCTCAGCTTCCAGAAAGGTCCATTTCTGCAAGGACTTTATGAACGGGAGCCATCGGAGTAACGAACTATAACAATTATTGCTGGTGAGGTAATATTTGACTGTTTTGTCCACTCTTCTCCTCAATTACATAGTCAGCTCAGTTTGTCCCGACGTTGAAGTTCATCAGACCAGGTTATCTGAGATTCACCACTCTGAATGCAGACGCTACCGGCCTTGCGGAATTGTCCCATATGTTCACACCACCTCCGACGCATACGCATTCGCTAACAAATGTGAGCCCACCGGCGGTTTGTCAACTGGATCGTGCATTTCGACCACGATTCTGCAATCGGCTGCCGTCGGAGAACACATGCTGTTGGCCCAGTCGAACGACGACCAGGCGTCTTCGCTTCCGCTGTACAGGAGGGCAGACTGTTTATCATCTCTTCGAGTGGATTCACGCGTGCGTGTGTCAGAGGAAGAACTGCAATGCAATTTTTGCTACTGGTGTCACTCCGCAGGATTCCAAATCCGAAGCAACTTAACTTCGACGTAATTGCAGTGTTGAAACTATTTGCTGGAATGTAATGTCACACTTCGTGGATCCGACTTGAGAATTCCACTTTCACATTAATGCCTCACATGGAAATGCTACATTTTTGATTTCACGCTATAGATGAAGACCCTCGTTTGGGTCATCGTGATCAACTTTTAGTGTAATTCGTTTGCGCTCGCATGCAGCTTCGGCTTTTCAGCTTTTAGTAGATGCATGAAAATGATTGCACATTCTCTGTATCTGTTCTATAATCTAAGCAATTCCGTTGCTTATTTGAAATCTTACATCCAAGGCAGAATACTAGAATTTGGCTCCCCGAATATCACCAATTCTCTGCTCTTATAAACTAATCTTCCTGTAATGTGAACAAATAGTATCCGAACTTATACAAGTGGCACGCAATTTTTGGGAGAAATTCCAAAGGTCGTCTTGATAATAGACTGTAGGCAGCAGTTCAGCACCAGAGAATATTCTAGAATTCAATCATATACTGATATCAGAATCCGGCATGCGATCAAACACGTGTGGCTTCAACTGAAACCAAAACAGAGGAAGCGAAAACGATCGGACGACCGAAGATGAATTCGCGGTGTATATAAGAAATAGGCGGTCTCAAATGATTCGGACATAAGGGAGTTGCATTAGGACAAACACAAGCTGAGCACTCTTCAGTTAAAATATAAAATGTGCATAAAACCTACATAGCTTCGAACTCTTGGGCAAATAGTCTGCGCATTTGTACGGTATTACGGATGGTAGATTGCCGTGTCGATGTATTAGTAATTGGTTGACTGCATCCGGTTCCTCATTTGCCTGTCACTGCAGCCTCCACGGGGACAGCCACAGGACGCCTGCGCCTACAGAGGGACCATGAGTGGTTTGCGCTGCACCAACCACAGCTCCAAGCACACACACACACCATGTTCAGTGTAAACCCGAAGAAATAAGACCGGGAGGCATGTGGATGAGAGCCACGTTTCATGAATGGACCAGACCCGCATTTCTTCAACATTCACAGCCGCAGCATTCCTGTCTATCTATGTGGGGAATCATGCGTACCAGACGTATACAAGGCGGTGGCTGAATGGTAGGCCGCTCCACACTCTACACTTTGATCCTAACACAGCCATGAGGATCGTGCGCCCCATCCCCCAGCAACGATTCAGTCTCCTGCAGGCAGTAATCGTGGTGGAGGGTGTTGGACAGGTAGAAACCTTGTCACCATGCACATAAAGCACTGTCACACAGGTGATGTCAAGCGACACTCAATCACTTGAATTGACAATATCAAATAAACATACAGAATGAAGTATACGAATTTGATGACATAACTTGGCCGAATTACCATATGGAATGAATGGGTTAGCAACAAATCTGCGATAAATAAATGATGTCGGGAAAGGAAATAAAAAATTCAAAGAACGCGAAAAAAACGTAACGAAGTTTATCAATTTTTGTTTAAGCCATGTGTGCAAACAACTAGAAGATTATCCAGATAGACATTAAAATGAGATCACAAAATAAACATAAACAATACATAGCAAACCAAACCAATCACCTGAAACACGCACTCGTTTAGCAAATCAACTGGAAACGCATGCAGCGTACCTACGAACGCTGCGCCGGTTCTGCTTACGTTCTCAGCAGGACCTGTCGTCGTTTCGATGCTGGTCCTGAGTGGCCTCGCTTGTGTTTCACTAAGCCTGCCTGACTCAGACACTCGCGACCGCGTGAGATACAGCAGCATGCGCTGGACTTCCATCGGTGCTGTCGCTTGCGCACCTGCCGCTTCTTCTCCTTATGCAAGAGGATTTTCTCCTGCACATCGGCAACTGCATTCGTGATCAGATCGTGCCATGCACTCCGATCAACCGCCTTCGATTCCCAACACCTAAAATCAATATTAGGAAGTGATGGGTTCACTTTGATCATGTTTTGGTAAAGTATGTTCCGTTTCCTTCACATAAATCAAGATCAGAAATCAGCTAAGGGTGAAGAATTCTTTTCGATAAACTGATCTCTGGCCTTAATTCGTGTGAATGCAATGCGAAGATTTGCTTCCCTAAATAATACCATTGCACGCAATTGTTGAAGATTTTGAATGAGTATCTGAAGCTCAGTACTCGGCTGGAGGAATCTAGGGTTGAGTTGGAATTTCTCGATGAATGCTTGTAGGCAAGCGGATACCCAAAATGATTTAGAGAGAGATACGGCGCTGTGGCTTCTACCCAAAAGCAAAAACTTTGAAAAGGCATGCACTCAATTATGTGGATACCATCCTCTTTAAACTGTCAGAGCTGCAGAGCATCATTTCGCAAAGGTTAGGCTTTTCTGAAGATCTGAGACAACGTTTTGAGGAATTTGTGGAATTGGTTAAGCTGAAAATAGGACTGTGGAAGCGAAGGAAATTACTTAGTACGCCTAACAACGAGGTCCCACAACTGACCTTTCCGAATAACCCGGAACGGTATGTGTTCAACCTTTCCAGTGTAATACTGAGCCCGACACAGCTGGAGATGTTATCATTAGGTCCCAAGTTTTGTATTCCATCTAAGAAAATAGATCAGGAAGCCTTAGAGATGCAGTTTGCAAGCCTAATGGTACAGGCTAGAGAGATTTTTACAACATTTAGTGACGTTGAGAACCTAAAGTATAGTCTAGTGACTAGTTGTCATGAATATGTTAAGGCTAAACCATCCAGTAATGGTATTAGCTCAAGGTAGCAAATTCAGGCAACTAAAGAGTTACGGTTAAACAAGGAATTAATTATCTCAAGGCTAGACAAGGGATCCGGCATAGTGTTAATAGATAGGGTGGATTATATCTGTAAAATGCAGCACATCCTCAGTGACGAAAGTAAGTCCATGAAGCTAATGGTAAGAAAGGACAACACAGGGGAGTTAGATAATCAGTTGATCGGCTGCCTCGGGCGAATGATACAAGCCAAACTTATCACAAAGAGCGAATTCGAAAAGTTGAAGCCTTCAGGTTGAGACCTACCTAGATTATATGGCCTTTCTAAAGTTCACAAGGAAGGCGCTCCAATGCGTCCAACCTTGGACATGATGGGTTCTCAGCGACATTTGTTGACCCAATGGATGGTGAACACATTGCAACCGTTACGGGATATGGTTTGCACTTACTGCGTGAGAGACACCGAATTCATTGGGAAGATATCTGCACTCAATGTTACTAACAAAAGGATGACAGCTTTTGATACCCAGCAGCTGTTTACAATAATTCCACGGTTCGAAACGGTGGATTACGTGTGCGAGTTGACCCGGCAACTAACAATATACGCTACTTTTCCGGTGGGTTTGCTAAAAAAGATACTACTTCCCTGTACGTTAAATGTTCACTGCACGTTCAATGCTGAGATATACCGTCGGATTGATGGGGTCGCCATGGGATCTACTTTGGAGCCGTTGTTGGTTGATATCTTTATGGCGAAATTAGAACATGACCCACTGAGGAGGCACATCTGTGAAACTGAAATGTACTTACGGTATGTCGATTGCATCTTTGTGCTTTGCGAATCCGAACAGCATGCAGAACAGTTGCTGAGAGCCTTTAATGATGCACATGAGGATCTACGATTCACCTGTGAGCACGAAAACGGAAACCGATTACCTTTCTTGCATGTAGAGGTCATCCGTAATTCGGACGGCTCATGTAGCAGGAAGGTACACAGAAAGCATACGTAGACCGGGCAGTACACTAACTTTCAGAGCGCAGTGCCTTTACAGCACAAGAGGAGTTTAATCCGATCACTTGTCTTCAGGGCGCGCAGTATTTGCACTCCGGATACCGTCAACTAAAAGCTACAGAGAATCAGGGACGCACATCGGGTAATGGTTACTCAGAAAGAAAGAAGTCGAAAGCCACCTAGCAGCATTGCTCGCAAGAAGGAACTGTTCCTACATTTGCCATTTAATAGCGATACTGCAGCTCATATCTTATCTCGACGTCCGAAAGATGTTGTTGAGAAAACTCATTTCGCAGCCCGTTTGAGCATTGTTTACCACAGCAAACTGCGCTTGCAAAACCCTTGAAATATCGTCTGCCCTCCTTGCCCCGTTCAATGCCGCTTTATCAGTACTCGTGCTCTTGTAGTGCACGATACGTGGGTCGCACAACCAGACGCCTATCCCAGAGGATTCGGGAGCACATACAGGCGCGGTTTTACAAAGGCGAAATGAGGTCTTCGGAGGGCTCAATCATGTCGCACTTCCTCGAACTTGGCCATACTACATCTGAGAATGTCTTTAAAGTTGTCTACTCACTGCCTAAACGCTTCTCGCAAGGATTCTGAAAGCCGAGCTTGTCTATTGCCGAGGCCAATTACACCCATCATCTGAAGCCGGAATTATGTGTACATTGAGTGAAAATTGAACAATGATTTATAACGGATACAAAAGCTGGTGCTTGACATGTCCCGTGGGGTGGTTAGAGTGAGAAAAGATAGATCAAAGGATAATGGAATCGTCGGTTCGGGCGATTACAGATTTAACTGCACCGTCGTATAAAGAAAGTTTGAAATTAGAATATGCGCACACAAAGCCATAACGGGATTGATTATTAATCACCTAATAAGCGAGAAAAAATAAAAAATAGGAAGGACAGCACTTACACGTGTGCATCTATCTCGGGTCGACGAGAAACAGAAATCCAGTATCTACTGTAGTAGCGATTATCAAATTGCGTACGGGGGTTTGGAGCGACTCATTCTCAAGTAGGGTTATGGCACCGTCCACTGTCAGCTGTGCATCAGTGTCAGCATCTGGTGATCATGGGCTAAAGTACGTAGTGTAAATGTGACAGAGCATCATCAAGGTGTTTTTGAAAAGGGATAGGGTGAGTGCCGTAATTATATGTTCCTGGAGGGCGTTCCAAGGCTGTGACACTAGAAGGGAGAAAAAGTGCCGCCGACATTCCAGTCGGCTATATTACTTGACCAGCTTAAACTGATGATCTCTTAGCGGGGTGTTT